TAGGCTGGTTGGTTGAGGTAACAGTGGAATAATTTATTATCGTTCATTCTAAACAATCGGAAAAAGTTTGATAAATTTGGACACCATTTAGTATCTTTAGCAATTAAAAAAACAAATATTAAATGTAGAGAAACATGAAACAACAACAGAAATTGCAACAATTGCAACGCCAGAATTTAAATAAATAAGTAATGCAACCATATATATATATCAAATATGCGTCAGTCAGTAAAAATTGTATTCCTTTGATATATAAATTTTCATTCCAGTTTATAAATTTTTTGAACTTTGAATACAAGCGGACCAACAATGAAAATGAAAACAAGACAGCAGGCCATATATCTTCTCTAAATTGATACTTGGAATCAGTCAGCACTTGATACTGAACTCTCAACTGGCCCATTCAAAGTATTCAAATTTAAAAATTTGATTTATTTGTATGATTCAAGCCAGTCTAACCACTTGAAACTAGAAACAAAACAACGAAAATCCTCAAGTACAGTGCTGCTAATTAAACTGCTGTAACATCATACAGAAGAGGCATAGATGTAGCAGTGGTTTGATTGGCAGAAGGAAATTCATCTGAGACTAACTGAACACATGTCATCATTTTGTTCTCAATCATTCAGGCATCTCTGCAAACAACTTATTCGAATCATCGTGCTTACTATTTCACCAACACACGTACAAACACAAACGAACGTGGCAGTATTTTAACACAGACTCACAAAGACATTCATGCAAGAGTTGAACTACCTACAACAACAAAGCAAACAACCAACCAACAAACATTTCCAGAAGCATTCATCTACAAAAGTTACGTATAAATATTTAATAACAGTAACCTACAGCGAAAACAGAGCGTTAAAGTTTCAACATCACATCCTATTATGGTTTTGTTTCAGAAACCATACAAACGAGTTGGGTGTTAAATCAAGCTCATAATTACCTTACAACCATCCAAATCTCTTCAGAGATGTAAAACACAAACAAATTAAATAGATGGCATTTCAAGTAAGATTGGAAAGTCTGAAGGAAATACAATAAACAACTGAATGAAGTAAAATAAAGTGAAAGCTGTACAGATAAAAAGTGAAGAGATTTTTTTAAAAAAGAGCAGCAAACAATTTTTACTACAATTTTATGAACAAAAATGTGAGCTGTAATGAGTCTTTTGTCTCACTTTATAAAAGAACATACAGGAATGCATGTGTACAACGAAAACATGCACAATTTCTTCAACTGAAATATCTGTGAAAATAAATGCAGTCTGTTCTTCAGCAGAACTATCCATCACATGTTCAAACAGAGGAGCAATTGAAGATTTTCTTACACTATATCAGGTCTCCATTCAACAATTATAACTATTTTGTCATATTTTCAACAAAAATTAACTTACATCACCTCCATAAATCTTTAATTAGTGAAAAAAAAAGATTGAAGTGAAATAATAATAGAAGTAATACTAAATATCGAAACAAAAAAATTAATTACTTCAAGTCGATCAGTCCTCGCGGGTCGAGTGGCAGCAAACTGAAGGGAAGGAAGGAACCAGGCATGCGTCGGGGAGGAGCTCAAGTTGTTCTGAGTGGCTGATGCAAGTGAAGACGTCGATGGAGGGGCTGAAGATGCGATGAGACTTTCGAGCAGTTGTCGATAGCTGATGCCTCCAGTTGAACCAGCACCTGGCACGCTGCCAACTGCTGAGTAAGATCCATCCAGTGAACCACTTTGCAACATTTGCTACCAAAATTCAAATTGAATTCATTTTTAAATTTTATTTTTTGAATATTACTAAACTCATTTAAAGACATAAAATTAATTCACCAAAACCTTTTACTAAAAAAATTAATAAAATTTGTAGACTAATACTTTAGTGACACCGACAATTAATAGCTAAATTTTACCAAACAAATGAACGACCGATGAAATAAATGAAAGTTGGATGATGGGAGCTTACAAAAGGCACCAATCCAGAGATGACAGACGAGACACCGAGTGGTGAGAATGTTTGGAAGGTGGACGTCAACATGTTGGTTCTCCTCAACTGAGACAGCTGATCTTTGAGATGTTGCGGAGGGTGAAAGTATTTGCACGGAGGCTCGTACCTGTGGCAACGACCCTGCAACAGTTTGGTATCAAAATTATAACTTAACAGGCATTGTCAACTGACATGAAGTGAAAAGTTGTCTCAAAATTATAACATTCTGTTTAGAAGAACAAACAAAAATTTCCATTAAGTAACAAGAAAATAATCTGCTTCTGTAATATAAATATATATAAATGTTCATATTAGTAAGCTAATAAAATATAGAAACTTAAAAACAACAAAAAAAAGCTGACCAGCAACGAGTCGAAGCAGCAAATGACCTTTCCATTTTGAACTTCGACCTGGGGAGGGGGGTGGGCATATTTGCACTCTGATTCATTCCGGTTGCACTTGTTACGTACGAACTCGCGACACACCTCAAGTGTCAACCACTGCGGGTCGCGAGCGGGTCGGGTCAAGGTAAGAGGACTGATCATTGTCATCAGGTTGTCTTCTGTGGTTGTTTGATTTAAATATTTAATTCATTAACAGATTTATGACCAAGTAATAATAATAAATATTCATATATACAGCCCACACCTCATAAATATTTATATATACACTATCATTGTGAACAAAAGATCAAATTCAACATGTTCCATCATGTTTTCTCAATCATAGGCACTTGAATGTGTCTCTAAGGTAATGCAACCATGGTTGGGACAGTTTCTCTAGGGATCATCATCCATATCACAAATTACTAAATAAATGATTGCTAGATAAAATTTCAGTTCAGAGTTCCAAATCATTGAAATTATTCAAATGTTTCAATGTTGTTGCCTTCCTTATGACCTGATAATCTTCTTGGTAAGTAACAACCATTAACTAAACATAATTATAATAGCAACTATTTCTAACAAATTTAAACTTAAACCAAGCATCAAGAATTTCAACAGTTCAACATGGTAGCCAGACGCCATGTTCACAGCACAGTACACACCATGCACATATCACACACACACACATACACCATTAAAATAACATGAAACATGTCTTTGAATAAAAAGAACAAATTTATTAGACAATAAAAAATTATTATTATAGAAGACAGAGATAATATATTATTAAAACAAAACATATACAACAATTGAATAAAACAATTATAATACAAATACCAAACAATTGTCAATACAATGAAGACTGTCTTTCAAATTGTTGAATTGGATAACAACTTATTTGTCATTGAAATTTAAAACTGAAAAAAATAACTAAAAAATGGTTTTTTAATTTTATTGTAAACCTGAACTACTTGCTTGCTTGCACAATACTGTATAATGACCAAACGGTGATTTCAATATTTTCTAATAAAAATTAAAAATGAAATAAAATGTCCTCACTCAAACCAGGATTAAACCATCACCAAAAAATATGGAAAATTAATTGTAAAATACGCTTGAAATGCTCCACACACGATATATTAACCATTCAGCAGTTTAACGAGCAAAAATAAAATACCATCATATATTAAAAAAATTTTACGGACTTTGAAGTTAAAAACTTGTGCTCTGCTTTTAAAAGTTGAGTTGAGTTGAGGAATTTTTTTTTAAATAAAAAACGCGAGTGTTAAAAGTTGAACCGTTCTTCAATCAATCAGTTGAATTCTATTTTAAATTAATCGCTGCATTAAATATTATTTGATCACATTTGATGATAAAATTAACTGGAAAATAATTTTTATTTATTTTTATTTGAAGAAATGAATTTTTATATATTCATGACTTTGCGCTTAACTTAACTCGATGTATTTTGAACTCGGTGTATTTTATTTAATTATATATAATTACATATAATTATTCTAATTATATAACTCAGGGAGATGATTTTTGCTAAAACATCAGGAACTTGATCGGTTAGTTAGAGATTATTTCAATTATTTACTCGATATTTTTAAAACATTTAAAAACTTCTTGTATCTTCTTGGCTCATCCGTTTGTCTGAATAAACAAGCGTTTTGACCAAGAGATAGAAATATAGACAACAGGGTGGCCATTTATTCTTTGAATTACTAAAAACCGATGTTTAGGGTCTTCCCTTTCTTCGTCAGTTATATTAGATGCGTGGCCTGAATGCTGCTATTGCTTCCAGTAAAGTTTATATTTAGAAAAATACTATAGATCAATTCCAGGTTGCCAGTTGTATAAAATATTTCTAACAGCTTAATGTGATTGTGTATCCGTATCCCTACAGAAGTTTTGGATTTTATTTATTTATAATTAAATTTATTGTATTTTTAACTTTTCTACAACCACTTGAACGTTTTTTGAACCGCAGTAAAAATAACTCAACCACCAGCTGATGACATGTAGTACAAAACGACATGTTCAAAAAAATTATCATTTAACACCAAACCAACATGTCATTTTAATAAAAACACGTGTGGCCAAAGGTTTAGCTCAACATACGTTAAAAACTCCATACTTAACATGCATCTGGTTTGTTGAATGGTCCAATTACTTTTAAGATTCAGTTTTGCGTTTAACAAGTTTTGATTAAATTTGAAAAATTCGTTAACACTGAAATGATGAAACCTAATGCGTTACTATTTAAATGATAAAACGTACAACATGAAAGTAATATACTATTAGTATATTATACTAGTATTACCTTTAACGTAAGCAAAAAGACCATATAATCCTACATACCCTACACAACACGTCACATATCCATTATAATTTTGTGTAAGGAGTTTTCCAGTGGCGGGTCCAGGGAGAGGCCAAGGGCACTGGCCACCCCGTTGTGAGAAGTTTTTAAACAAAAGTCAGCTACACTACCACAAATTTTGCTCCCCTCGTAAAAGTTTGAACAATTTCAAAATTTTGCCCCCCTGTCAAAGTTGACTAGATTCACCACTTGAGTTTCCAAGCAATTTTTAGGTTCGGTTGATTGGCGAGAGTTGAAATATTGGATGCATATATAATGAGACAAATGGTTTCATATCAACACTCAGGTCAAGTATGTACTTTACATTTTTTGGTTTAACATCTCTACTTCCTGATGTAGAATTCACTCTGCCAAAATTTATCTAAGGCTATCTTGAAGCTAATATTATTTATTAGCAGGAGCAGAATATTTTTCATCCGACTCCATGATATTATCGTCGTCGACAAATTGTTAAACATTTAATTACTATTAATTTTATCGAATATTGTACGCGTTATAAGCATTATAATGCAAATCTGCCATGAGTTTCAACTAAAACAACACCACAGAATAATGAAATTTTTTAAATCAAATAATTACAATAAGCCGATAGTTAAAACATGATTAATAAAGTCGAAGAAATTGTCAGTCTCTGTGAAGATTGTTTGTTGACGTTAAGTTCCTTGCCTGATGGTGATGAAAAAATTTATTAGGTTACATTATAATAGCGATACAGTGGAAAACACATCCCAACGTACAAATAGTTATCCCAACCACATAAAAGGGTAAATTAACGAAGTCTAAAAACTATAGGTACTTGGATCAACATCGCAACATCAACCGTTTCATCATCATTTTTAGTTAGCACTAAAGGCAATTTTCAAGAAAAATAAAAACAAATAAACAAGACAAAAAAACAGGGTTACACAGAGTTCAGTTCGTATAGATCACATCGTGTAAAGGCTATTGTGCCGCATTCAGTAACACAACACTGACAAAACGCAGTACATGCGGATGAGAACATCGCATGGTCTTGGTCACGTAAATGAAATTAAAGATCCAGTAACAAATTTCGGCGTCATACTAGATTCTGAACTATAAATGGAAAGTCATATAAAAAACTTTCCGTCGATGTTTCTATCAGCTGCACACAATTAGATCGATCAGACGTTATCTGACTGTTGAATGAACGAAAACGCTTGTTTGTGGTTTAGTTTGTAGCAGGGTTGAATACTGCAAGGCGAAAACGTTCGGAATCAAACTTTCCTCTCGTGGTCTCTTTTTAACGCTGTTGCTGGATTCGTAGCATGAATAGTCGATGTTTGATCCAATTTCAGCTTACATTAAAGAAGAGCTAAAAATCATCTGTTCAAAAACCCATAGCGAAGCTATTGCTTCTGAGGTTCTTTCAATCAAGAGGGGCGCTACACAAGTCATGCATACAAAAGAATACAAAACAATACAATACAATACAATACAATACAACGGTTCTGAAGAAATTTGGGCTTACTATTGCACTGAATTGTGGTTTGCCTCTATATCATACCATCTCTTAAAAATTGCATTTTATATAAACAAAATTTCTTGAACATTTCTACAATAACTAAGGATAACTTAACAGAACAAATGTTCACAGACTCACCATCGCCCAATCAACTGACAACCACAGGTTAACAATATTAATTGAAATATTGCCAGCACCAAGCACATTCACCACATTACATTATAACTACTGACCACTTCAAATACTGATCCAATCAGGCTAGGTACCTGGGAGGCCTTGATGATGATGATGATGATGGCGTTAATGATATGTCGGTGATAACGAAAATGATAACAATAATGACGATGAAAATGATTGTGACAGCGTTTACATTGTGATAACATTATAATTTACATCATCATTGCAATGCATGCCATCAGCTAATCTACAACCATCATCATTAAACTATCGTTCTTCCATCACATGATACATTTAACATTTCTCAAACATCATCACATGATACATTCAAATGTTATCTCCATGTATCACCGTGGTCACCAGCCAACCTGCTTAGAACATTTAGTGAAAAGATTGGCATCAAGAAATCTCCTCTCCATGAACATCCACGTCTCTTCAAAATTAGGAGATCGATCCGTTATAAGAGAGAGTTCGGAAGATTTATATATACAGGCCAATGTGGCACGTTTGGTGTACCATGAAAACTAAAAGTCAAAATCAAAAATTATTATCTATGTTGTCATCTATTATCACTCTTTCAGTTGTCATTTCTTATCATATTATCATCGCCGGCATTACGTACCTACAGCGCGACCAACACAAAAATAACTACGGTATATTTATTGAAACATGGTATCATCCATCATGACATCTATCCTTCCAACATCTCCACCGTGGTTTCCAGTTCCACAGTACCATTCCATACTGTCATCTCATAACTCCTCCATCCACTCAAGACAAGAACATCACAACTTCCAATGCATCAAACAAAGACATCATCACATCACCGAAACATCACCACACCACACCACTCACATCAGTCGAAACATCACCGGCATACCACCAGACATCATCCAACATCTCCGCCAAGTTCCTCACTGATCGTGAGGCATTAAATGGGCGAGACATCAATGCCATTGCCTATGATGATGATGACGATGATAATGGTGGTGATGATAACAGTAATGTTGATGATGGCGATGATGATAACAGTGATGATGATGACGACGACGATGATGATGATAGTAACCTCGGGCCAGACATGGATGTAAGGAGTGATGAGTTGCAGTCGGAACTTTAGTGCATCTTGCAACAAGTGAGCAGTTGATGGTGATGATGATGAAGAAGATGATGGTGAAGAAGAAGATGATGATGGAGGTGAAGATGATGCAGGTGAAGCAGGGGATGATGATGAAGCAGGTGATGATGATGATGACGCAGATGATGATAGCTGTGACCTGTTAAATAAAAGATAAATGAAGAAATGGAAAAAGAATGAAACATAAACAATAGAAAAATTAATTTAAAAATTTTTCAAATGATTTAAAAATAGGTGAAAAACAAGACAAACTCATGAATGAAGAAAAATGATTTTTTTTTGTTATAAAGCTATAAAAAATTTTCTCTGTGAACTTTCAGCTGAAAATTTTAAAATCAATTTAACTAGTAAAAAACTTCGAATAAAATAACGGGTATCTCTGTTTGTGATAGTGGCTCTTGGGTGAGAAACTGGCAAGAAAGTAAAAAAAGCAAGGGCATATTTTATTTTACATTTTGAAGGTGAAGGTTGTTGACAGATTATTCTCAATCAATCAATCAATCTTCGTTTAGCGTCCAGAGACACAGTTCCCCGAGGTAGGACAGATTATTATGAAGAAAAACATGAAAAAATGAATAAACGGAAAAGGTAAGTTGATTCATTATAAGTGAACAAGCACAAGACAGCTGACAGCCTCAAAGTAGTAAAATGAAAAATTTGCGAAAATTTAAAGATGTATTTAACAACTTATAAGTGATAATTTGATAGCATTGATGATTGTAAAGATGATGAAATTTGTTAATACAGACTATCAAAGACAAATCAACGTACAACTTTTTGTTTCTTTGTTGCAAATAATCTCTCAGCTCCTCATTGGCTGATTTGTAAAAATGATCAACCAATATGAACTCTCCATTCTTAAGAAGTCCATGTGCCATTGGTGACATCTGGCAATCTGATGCTCCTATTGAAAAATTAACAACTTTAATTCAATTAAACTTTAAAGTAGATGATATAATGATAATTAAAGAAATAAACTTAATTTGTAACATACAAACCTAACGAAATTGCTTCCTTGGACCAGCCGTGTTTAATGACGTGCTTCAAGGAGTGATGCAGCAGGTTATATTTCAATGAATCGACTTCATCCTCTTCAGATCCACTGCCACCACTACTACTACCGCATGTGTTTGTTTGTTTAATTATTGATTACATAATGATGTCAGGATAGTTGTGAAGATTCAAAAAGTTAAGACAAATGCTCAGGGAATTGATCATTGCATAAAAAATATCCTTAATTAAAACTTTTTTTAACTTTTCTACATTAGAAATTCAAGTGATTATTAAAATGAAAATAATATTTGCAACTATTATTATTATTATTATTATTATTTTGGCACTTTATGTTTATATAGACATATTAGAATTGTTAATAAACAACCAGCCTGTCAGAATAAGATGAGGAAAGTGTTTCACTGTGTGATGTATTAGTGGATGATGACAACTTTACACGTGAATAAACTAATATTTAAAAATATTTTAATAAAATGTTGCACTACAACAAATTTTAATTAAAGAAAAAATTTACATTTTATATTACAGTTAATAAAATTAATACTTTAAACGTTTATATAATATGAAATTAGGCAGAATTTTTTTTAGATTTTTAAATTTTGAGTATTTCTTTTGAAAAACAGAAAAATAATAATTATTATAATATGATCATCTACTAAAAAATTATATCTATCAGTTGAAAAAACTAAACTAACACAACTTAAATAAAGTTTAATTATTAAACTAACTAACTCTAAAAAATTAACTAAACTCATTCTAGATGTAAAATTTTTAATGTGATCACCTATTAACAACTCAACACATCACCCACAACAGACAAAGTCACATAAAGACAACACAACTATATAAAAATAAATAAGAATTACAATAAGACTTATTGACACATAATTGCTGCTGTCATAAGATTTTTATACTTATTGAATAAAACAATTAATAAAGTTATAATATATGTTATTTTTATTCGATAGCAATCATGTGTCATTTCATTTCTTTATCAATTTTAATTTTTATTCATATACCGAATGTTCTATTTCTAGAGTTCATACAATGAAATATCATACAATTCAGGTTTCTTTATTTAATACTTTCATTTCATAGCATAACCAACAAAACTGAAAACAAACCAAACTAATTCAGAACACATGAAATAATTTCAATATTAAAAAACAACTGAAAAAACCTGATTTTTTAAATAAGCCATTGAAATTCAAAATCCTCCCAATCATTGTAAATTATAATTTAAATTAATCAAATTAAATTAAATACTGAATTTTCAAATAAGAAAATTGAACCGGGCACGTCTGTGAAATCACCGGTTTATTAAAAAGTACGGAAGACCAAATAAACTTCGCTAATATATATATATATATGAAATCCAACATGACCTTATTTATATTTTCAAATTTACTCTATTCTGTGTTATTTTGATTTTGACTAATAACAAGGTATTCAATTCAAATAAAACGACTAATGAAACACGACATACATTTTTTATCAATGAAATAGACCAAATGATATCCCGTGTATCAAATTTGAACAAAGGTTAATTCTTTAAAGTTTAAACAAAGGAAAAATTTCAATCCGAACCAAGAATTACAAATTAAATAGCTAAAACAAACTGTTCAACATGAATAATCAAATTATTTTTGATGTTTTTTTACTTTTTTATAATATATTTATAATAACATATATCTACCTATTTATATCATTTTATTGTTAGTTATTAAAAATAGCATTTTTAAAAAACATTGCCCAAATTAATTTTTTTTCTCAAAACAAACAAAACAACAAAATTTACAGATTATTATAGTTCAAATTTACTAAAAAAAATTTGTTCAGAATTTATTTGAAGATAGTTTGTTCAAAAAAAGGTGATCTATAAATAGATCACTGGGCAGATGAGTAACCTAAATTTTAAAAAATTTTCTTTAATTTTTTCTATGATATTTTAAGAAGCAATCCGTACAAAGTGTGACGTTGCATTTAGTGCAATAGGTTAAAGGACGACTTTTGCAAGTAGGATATTGGCATCGTCTTTGGTTAGTTCGTTTATCCAGAAAATGACCTTTTTCGTCAAGTCTAACATTGTCTGGCACATGCGTCTTAGAAGTTGAAGGAAAACTAAGGGGTCTACCCTTCAAAATACTTTTTCCATATCCGATTTTCAAATAATTAATGGCAATTTCCCGTCTAAAATCTTTTAACGTTATAGATTTTTTCCCATGGATTCTTCGGTACAACAGAAAAGCATTTATCACTGACATATCTATGATTCTAGTGAACAAACACCAATACCATTTTTTTCCTCGAATCGCAATGTTATGCTTCTCAACAAGCCAGTCATGATGATCTACTCCTCCCATGTGCTGATTGTAATTATAAATGAGTCTTGGTTGGGGAACTGGCAAACGAGCTTTTTCTTTTCCATTCCATCTTGTGACTGTTGCTAGTGATTCAATATGATCATAATTTGTAGCAATTGATACACATCTATTGTCTTTCCATTTGACGAGTAATATTTCATTTTCAGTGTCAAATCTATGGTCATATGATCCACGAGGCATTTTTTCCAATTCTTTGGTTGCTTGAACAGGACATTTTCCAGTTCGATTTTCTCTTATTGTACCTGTGGCTCGAAATTTCATTTCTTTTAATTTATGAAATAAGGCATGACTACTAAAAAAATTATCAAAATAAACACAATAACTTTCCGGATTTTCAACTATTGACAACATTTCTGAAACTACTCTAGTTCCCAATGGTTCTTTGTTTTCGTTATTCTCCTTATTCTCTTTTCCAGCATACAGAGAAAATGAAAAACAATATCCATCTTCGCCGCACATTGCCCAGAGTTTGTAACCAAATCGAATTGGCTTAGATTTTATAAATTGTTTCAATGAGTGGCGACCATAATATCTCACAATCATTTCATCAATAGATAAATTTTCTTGAAAAATTCCAAATCTATGAAAATTTGTGTTTACCTTTTCAAATAAGGGTCTTATCTTGAAATACTTATCATTTTTGTTATCTTTAGCCTTAGTGTTATCGACAAAGTGAATGCATGATTTTATTTCTAAAAAGCTATTCCTACTCAAAGCATTCCTTACAATTGCTTGTCCCAAGTCTTCTTCATCTGACCAGTAATCTCTTTCAGAGGGCAATGTATGGTAGCCACTGTATATAAGGAACCCAATAAAAATCTTTAAATCATCTATATGGATTGTCCATCCATGTTTGTTTTTTTGAGCTCCAGCATATCTGTTGGTTTCTTCTACCATCATTTCATATAAGTCGTTGTCAAAAAATTGTTCAAATAGATCCACCGGAGTAGACGTTTTTAAACAACTTTTCAAATGATCTTCCTTTTCTAAAAAGATTTTTCCTGGCACACTGTTATTATATTTAGGGTCAGTTTTAACCCATTTGCTAATAAGCTTTTGCGGCTTTTCTATTTTCAGTTTTTTTTTTGTTGAACACAATTCAACTTCATTATCTTCATCTTCGCTCTCGCCCTCACTATCCTTTATTGTTTGTACCTCAACATAACCAGCAAGATCCGTCACAGTAGGGACACCAGTTTCCTCATCGTTAAGTATTTCTTCATCAGTTAATTCATCAACATCTGGAGGAAGTGCTAAAATATCTGCCTCTATTTGTTCAGAATACAAATAATCTACAGCCTCTTCTAAATTTTTGAATATGTAGTTTTTGCTCATTTTTATTCCTGAAACAAGTTATTATAATATTATATTTTAACTTTAGTTATATTATCAGATTATTAGTTATATTATTAGTTATATTATCAGATTATCATTGTTATCTCTTTGAATTAGTACTCCATCATATAAAATATTGTTTAATGAAAATTGCATGAAATGTTCACTCAAACGACCAGTGATCTATTTATAGATCACTGTTTAAATTAGGATAGCAAAAATGACATGAGCTTGACACAATAATGTGATACCAACAAATATTTTTATTGATAGTTTATAGATATAAATTTAAAATATGAGTAACTCACTTCCTTGTATTTTAATTTTATTCAAGAATTAATTTTAGGAATTATTTCATGAAAAATTGTCTATAATAAAATTATGTTGAGCAAAATATCCCAACTCAAAAAAAAAAAAAAATTATTGCTATAACAAACGCGCTTTACACTGCAGTCTTTTTTTAAAAAATAAATTGGCGGCAGATTTATAACGTAAACAAATTTTAGGGATTTACACAGTGATCTATAAATAGATCACTGGGCGCTAATGGGTTATAAGATACCTTTGAAATTGAAAGATCTCTTTTAAATTGGTTATCATTTTTGACTGCAGTGTCTTTGCGGACGTCGACATCCCATCGGAATGCATTCTTCATAACTTCATCCTTTTTCGCTTCAACTCCTTTCTTAGCCGCACTTTCTTTATTAACCTCACTAGTTTTTGCAATTTTACCACTTTTCTTAACTTCGCCATTTTTCGTAACTTCCTGTTTTATTTTCGAGATCGTACTTCTTTTTGAAAAACTTACATTTCTTGTCGATACTCCCATAATTCCTTTCGTGATTCCCAACATTTTTTTCGATATTCCCAACTTTGTTTTGCTTACATTTTCCACGGGACTTACAGATAGTTGTTTGTTTTCTTTCAGTTCAGCTTTTTTTCGTTCACTCAGTCTGACATTGCGGATGAGCAGTAACATTGCCTTCCAGCCTAAAGAATTCAAAATCATAAATTGTTGTTGTTGTTGAATAAATTTTCTACGTATTAAAATTCATGTAGTCAATCACCTTAAACGAAATTATCGAAGTATTAAATAGGACTAAAATAAAAAGAAACAATTGCTCACTGCGAAAATTTATGCATAAAAAGAAGTATACCTACTTAATTGTCGTGTCGCGAGTTTACAAACGTCGAAATTATTTTCGCGTGAAACGATTTGAAATAAAAGATCTTTTTTAAAAGACCTAACCTTTATTGCATAAAACGAAGCTTTTGAGAGACACTGTAATCGGCATTGTTCGACTGATGCGACGGTTAATGTACCATTACTTTCTACAATTTCAGTACCAAGAAAGCAGCCCACATAATTCAATAGTTGAAATTCAACATCTGTGAATTAAAGTAAAAAAAATATTTTTTTTCATTATGACAAATTGTGAGTTAAATTTTTTTTCGTTTGTTTACCACTTGCATGGCCAATGTCAACACTTGTGATTTCATCATTTTGGATGCAGGTTGTTTCACTCTTGTTCTTACTTTCAACTTCCACGCAGGTTTGATTTCCGCATATGTGCTGTTCATTCTTGCAACCTTATTTGAAGAAACAAAATTTTAAAAAATATGTCCACATTCAAAATACCTAATGAAAAATAATTCAAAATTTATTACATTTCCATTAATACAAAACTATCTATCTCAGATGCATTTAAAATGTTACAGTCGTTGCTTGCTTGCTTCCGCACGTCATCCTCCTTGTAGCTTTTCAGATCTCTTGCTTGAAGAGAGATATATTGTTCAAATGAGACCATGTTTTAGACAGTATTGTATGAACTCTGCCAAATAAAGCGCCGATTCAAAATGTCTCAAAAGCGCAATAAAAATAATATCAATTAAGCATGGCACAATTAACGAGAATAAAGGAGAATCAGTGTATTACAACGAGAAAATTATATAAAGCTCTTTTTATGTATTTTTTTTAAGTTTTTCCTTAACTAAAAGTTGCACAGTGAACAAAAAAATCAATTTATTATAACTAAAACAATTAAGTTTTCAATTTTTACTTAGTCAAACAGAGCCCAACAAAATAACGAAATGACCACTTTTTATAAATTAAATTCAATCAAATTAAATTAAGTTAAAACAAAAACAAACTGTTTGACAACTTTTCGAAACCAAATAAGCACTGTGTTAAGATAAATTAAAGATTTTTAGAGACGAAATTAATACTGCCTTGCACTACAAAAAACATACAATATATATAAATATGAACAGCAAAATATCCAAATTTGAAAGTCCAACTTGTAGCATAGACTTCAATCTCGTTGAGACCGATGTACCTAACCAGTTGATCGATCAGCGGGTGAACGACAACAAACCTCGACATGTCTCCGATTGAACATTGTATCTTCATGGGCATGCCCGCGTTCAACGTTTTCTTCGTCCAACTCCCACACAATTGGTACGATTTCAAAATATTAGCAACGTTGTTTAAAAATTTATGGAGTCCAATTGTGAACGGAGTCAAGTAGGTCTCATCTATTTCATGTGAGGTTATATAGAACAATTTGTACACACACACACACACACACACACACACACACACACACACACACACACACACACACACACACACACACACACACACACACACACACACACACACACACACACACACACACGCGCGCGCGCGCGCGATAGTGTAGATTTAATTTTTAACAGTAAATGCAAAGAGACTGACTCATAGATTGGTAGATTAGTTTGTTGAAAAGAACGACGTGATGAACGGTGAACATTTCAATGAGATCCACGCTAATCCACTGGACAAAGCTGAGAAAAGTTCTCTGCTTGATGGTCTGAATGATCAGTCCGTCAGTCAACTCCTCCATCAAAACTGACTGGTTCAGCACAAGCGACTGAGCTGCCTTCAAGTATGCAACGTTCATTCTGGGCTCTTGGAAGTTAAACATACATATTGCTATAAAATAAAAGAAATAGTTTCAAATATTTTTTGACGAAACGATTTCAAATACTATTTAAAAATTGAAAACTCAAAACATATATATATATATATGTGTATATATATATATATATATATATATACACATTCACTCACTCAATTACATTTTATATATACACATATATACATTCACTCACTCAATTACATTTTAATTAAAGTGGTCTGCACAAGTTATTTTTCTTTTGGATCTCCCGGTGATTTTCTTATTTACCAAATAAATGACTGGAAATAAAAAAAAATATATAAATATATACCAGTGCACACTTTAAATTTGTCTAAGACTTTGCCTTCGGCACAAACGCACTCGCTGTATGAATTTTTGTTCAAAGTGTTTTCTATGCAATTCCTCTCCGTTCCACAATCCCCGTTTTGAACACTGCAATCTTCAAATAACCAAACAAATAATCGCCAATATATAGAAAGCAGAGGATTGTTTGTTATACTATATCGTTATCATCGCTACCAATGAAATTTTAAATTGGAATTGACTAGTTTTTTTTTTATTCCAACAAAGCATTTAAAACAGCTTAAAGAAAAAAATCTGTAATTAAGAAATAAATGATGGTTTTCTGTGTGATTATATGATGACAACGCAAAAGCTTTTACAGTCAACGCTGAAGAGCCAGTCATAAGAAAACCTGCTTCAGACATCAGACAACCAGCATCAGACATCAGACAACCAGCATCAGACATCAGACAACCAGCATCAGACATCAGACAACCAGCATCAGACATCAGACAACCAGCATCAGACATCAGACAACCAGCATCAAACATCAGACAACCAGAAATCCACGGTGGCGAACCCCCACCAACCAAACCATAAACAAAATAAATAAAGAATCGGTGTAGTAGTTAATTAAACGAAAATAAGCAAAAAATAAATTCAGGGTCATCAACTTGAGAATTTTGAAAATCATCGCCCATACCGAAACTGGAAATTAGACAAAAAAACTAGACCGTAATCATATTTTGCGGATGCCTCTCACAGAAGGAAGTGCAAACGGAAAACGAGGGGAACGGCTTAAGCAGGCTGGCCGAGACGACGAACTGGTAACAGCCAATGTACGAACCTGCAACATGCACCTGAGTTAACTTCAAGAATTTCAACTCAACAAAATTTCAAAAAACGTTTTTATGGGTTACGAAAATATAAAATTTAATGTTATGAAATTGTTAAATTGTAATTTTTTAACATGAAATTTATTTTTGTAATTTTGTGGTCAAATATGTTTTTAATTTGCTTCAACTCTGCTTGTAATTATTTCCAGATATTTAAACAAGTTTATATTAATCATTTATTCAAAAAAAAAGAAAAAAGAAAAAATTTGATGTGCAGTAAGTTTTTTAATAATTCAACTCCTGCGTTTAAAAATTTCAATATACAATTAAAGTGTATAATTTCGCCTGATAACAAGAGATGACATCCGTTGTCTTAAAAATATCTGCAATTCACCATGCGTCGGGAAAGGCAGCCAGGCTTCTATAGTTTTTTTAATGTTTCAACATGAAGTTCACACGAAATAAATAATTGCCTGAAAGACAGCAAACGTGCAAACTAGGAAACATCGAACACCAGCAAACGTCCACCAACCTTCCATCATGGGGCTGCCCAGCTTCACAGCCACAAAAAAGTAGAAGGAAGAAAGCATCGAAGCGTTTATCAAAGTCAAAGACCAAGCGTTTCATCTTTTAATAATTCATGGATTAAATGAAGTTGTTTTGTTTAGAAGAGCGTAAACAAACTGGAACGTCAAAAATGTGTATTCAAAAGTTAATGATGTGACAAAAATGCAAGTCAATATTTTTTATGTTTTTACTCTGAGTCATGAAAATGGCGCTGTAACTGAATGAGTAAAGATGTTGACACACTGCAACACGCCAGTCAATGTTATGTGACTCAAGAGACTTGTAATGGCATAAACTCTTACACGCAATTTCAAGCTATTAATTCAAAACAAATATAAGAGAAATAATTAGACCAAACGGCATCTATATCTATAATATATTTATATAAATAAATATATATATATATATATATGTTGGTAATAGACCATAATTTTTATAATATTCTATAAATTCTACCGAATGTTTGGCGTTAATATGTTTGTAGTTCGTTTTTTCGATTTTTCTCACTAAAGTTTTTTGGTGAACGTTTAGTTTATTAAAATTCAAAATAAACTTATTTTTCGAATTCATGCGC